GACGGAAGGGGGCCTCTGGCCTGCGAAGGCTGTGAGGCAGTCGGAGGAGGAGGCATCGTTGTGCCGATGGTGAGGTGAATGAGGGCAGAAAGTGTAGCGGAAGACTGGGAGGAGATGTGCTTCACAATGTGGTGTTGATGGTGCCGAGAAGATGCTCCTTCCGTCCTCGTGATCTTGGCTCAGGCTCAGGCTCAGGCTTTACTGATGTGGATGATAGGTAGGGCAGGTCCAGACAGCGAGCAGCTGCTCCTTCCTTAATTTCATATCGTATGCAGCAGGAGCGTACCTTCTCTTGCCTCCTGCAAGAATCCTGGCAGTGGCTCAACGATGGACATGAGGCAGGCAGGCAGGTGGCTTGACGAGAAAGGCAGCCTCCAGGGCCTACTGTCGTAGGCACAGCATTGCGAACAACGGAATTGGTCCCAGGCGATTCCCGGGAATTAGTGAATGTGAAGGCAGTGGGAATGATGGTCGAATATCTCGCTGGTAACCTCGTGGCCGTCCGCGACTTTCCGCCGATCAACGCAGCCTCGATTTCCTCAACACAACACTACTTGGAGACTGATATTGAATTCTGTGGGCGGCCGAGGATCTTCACTCAGTTAGACGCATCCAACTGCTTTATGGAGAAGAGACCAACTGGTTTGCCTGTGTGCTCGCTCCTATCCGGTGGCAGAGTATGTAAGCGGATAGTGGAGTTGAGATCGACTCGTCCCAACCTTAAGCTCAAGTCAATACGACGAGACACAGATCCTCGTCTATTGAGACGTCAACGCGGAGAAGGTTGTTTTTGCGCTTATCCATCACATCACGATGATCTTGAGGACTGGGTCGTTCCAGCCTTAGCTTGGTGTTCACTGTGTTTCGGCTCAAAGTCGTTAGCGGGGCAGTGGTCGGGACGGCTAAGGAACCGGGGCCCAGCGCAGGCGGGACTGGCCGGGGCTTGTGCCGGCACTTCAGTCCACGTCACAGTATCACCCCTGCCCTGCGCGGGGCGGCGGCGGCGGCGTCGGCGTCGGGTGACACAGCTGTTGGCCTGAACTCAGTGTCGAACCAGACCTGACGCAGAAGGGCAGTGGGGCCCGATGCTGGCACTGATGATCCTGGTCTTGTTCCTGACAAGAGGTGGACTGCCACTGGCTGCATGGCTCTGTTCAGGCGTTCAGGGGATGTGCCTCAAACTTGGCAAACCGGGAAGAGCAGAGTTGACGCGGCGCCATGTTGTGCACGCGTCTCTATCCGCGAGGCTTGCGAGGCAGAGTCATGTGTGGCGCCAGGCAGGCCGCGACCTTCATGAAGACACTGACCGTTGGACTTGACGTGTTCCACGTGTGCGACTACTTCCCGACGTCATACCAAGTGCTCCCTGAGATCCAGCAGATGCTTGGATGGGAGTAACGAACCATCAGCCAATCATTGCTGAGAAGGAGAAAGCTGGGTGCTTATGTCTCGGATGCAGCAGCAGGCGAGGTCGCGAGAGACAGCGGAGAACAAACATGCACAAATCAAGGAGATAAGATACGCAACTGTCAGAACTTAAGTCAAGTGAGCTTTCGCTTCATCTCGACATCGGTATCGGTATTTGTCCAGTGTCTGTCGACGGCATGTGGGTGACATCCTCCCCGATCCACTGACATCTCCAGGGTCGTGACCTGGGACCGAAGCTAACGGGAGTGTGCTTTCCCCGGCCAGATTCTTTTCCATATCCAGGTACCCCTGCCCCTGCGCCATGTAGCTCTTATCTCTTATCGCAGCTCACCTTATCTGGTGTGGACATGAACAGGCAGGCACAGCCAGCACACCACACAGAGACAACCAGAGGCAGCCAAGACATGACGAGAGAGCAGCTGCTCGTACAGCCATTCACGCCTGCTCAATCGACCCAAGACAGGAGCACAACATGCGCCTGCCGCCGCCCACACTTACCTCCGAACGCCACCCAGACCGGGTGTGTGACATCGCTCCCTCCCAACCAAGGCCTGCGTCGCCGCCTTGAAAGGCACCTTCGCGATGGATGGCGATGGCGAGGAAGGCAGTGAGAGTGACAGACACATTCTGCAGGTGACAACCAGCCCCTTTCGTCTACCTACCTTACCTACCTCACCTTAGGTACCTAGGTATAAAGACGTGGGCCGTCGTCCTCTGTCGTCCTCGTCGTCCAGCATCATCATCCCTCACCTCCACCATCGTCTCTTCGGTTGTCTGCCCCGTCTTCTGCCTACTCATTCACGGCTATCACACCTGAATAACCACCACCCGACGTCACAATGTCCCACGTCTGCTACGTCGTCCCCCCTTACCTCCTCCGTGGTATAGCCGACGCCCAGTGCAACGAGGACCATGTCAGAGACGCTGCTCGCCGTGCTCTCGAGCTCCGCGACCAGTGGACCGCCCGCCGTGCTGAGCGTATGGCGCTTCTCTGTACTCCCCGCGGTGCTCGCCACGCCCATGTTCCCATGGTTCCCCAAAGCATCGTCCCAGACTTTCTTCTGAAGCACATCGCCGACAATGAGGACGTCGACGAAGAGACTCGCGCCCACGCCCGCCGAGATCTCGAGCACATCCAAGGTGTCCAGCGTCAGTACCAGACCCAGCAGCAACAGGCCGACCAAAAGGGCCTCTCCCAGGACCCCGCGTCGTCGTCGTCGTCCGTCTCCGCGCTTGCCGCCGCCGTCCCCGGACAAGAGGACCCGAAGACTCCAAAGACGGAGAAGTTCTACAGAGCCATCTACGACGCCAAGAACACTGATAACGAGCAAGAACTTCCCGGCAGCGTCGTCCGTGTCGAGGGACAAAAAGAGACGAAGGATAAGGCCGTCAACGACGCCTACGACAACGTGGGCGAAGTCCTCGAGATGTACAAGGAGAAATTCGACTGGGTTTCCATCGACAACAAGAACATGAACGTCATCAGCTCCGTTCACTTTGGCAAGAAGTACGAGAACGCCTTCTGGGACCCCGAGCGCCTGCAGATGGTTTTTGGCGACGGCGGTGAGTTTCTGAACAATTTCACCGGCACCATCGATGGTAAGTCTCCTTCTTCCCCCCTCCCCCTTCCCCTGCCACCTTCTGTCGAGGTCGTTGGACAACGACGACGCAGGACAACACAGGACGACGCAGGACGACACAGGACGACGCAGGACGACACAGGACGACGCAGGATGACACGGGACGACACGTGATGACGCGACGAAGGACGACGAAGGACGACAGAAGCTAACGATAGTAGTCATCGGGCACGAATTGACCCACGCCGTGACCGAACACACCAGCCCCCTGGACTATCAGGGCATGAGCGGCGCTCTAAATGAGCACGTCTCCGACGTATTCGGCATCATGGTGAAGCAGATCGTCGAGAAAGAGACCGCCGAGGATGCCGACTGGCTGATCGGCGAAGGCTGCATCATGCCTGGCGTCAAGGGGGTTGCTCTTCGGAGCATGAAGGAGCCAGGCACCGCCTACGACGACCCTCGTTTCGTAAGTGTTCCTCGTCCCCCGTCTCTGTCATCCGTCTTCGTCTCTATTGGGCCTACTAACCGTCCGCAGGGCAAGGACCCCCAACCGAATAACTTCAAGGACTACGTCCCCACTTTCGAAGACAATGGCGGCGTCCATATATACTCCGGAATACCCAACAAGGCTTTTTACCTAGCCGCTAAGGGATTCGGGGGCTTCTCGTACGAGAAGGCGGGCCCCATCTGGTGGAAGACCATGCAGTCAGGTCGCATCCCGGCTCGTTGCACCTTCATCCAGTTCGCTGATGTGACTGTGGAGATTGCAGAGGAGCTCTACGGTGATGAGGCTGGAAAGATTGTTCGCAGCGCATGGAATGAGGTTGGGGTGACCAGAAAGGGCAACTAGGAGCAAAAGCCAGAGGCAGGCTGCCCGCCAATGTGAGGGGATGAACGCGTTATACCTAGAACCTCGGCCTGAGTTATCGAATAAACGTATAGTCAGTATGAATAAGCCAAGAATGACCAAAGACTCTGCCAGAGACAAGAGTAACAGTGACAGCGCTCAGAAGAGACCACAACCAGAAGGGATTACGACCAGAAGGGATTACGACCAGAAGGGATTACGACCAGAAGTAAAAGCTAGAGATGAGAGCAACAGTGAGAAGTAGAGGTGAAAACAGCTAGAGGTGACGGCAACTAGTAGTGAGAATCCTACTACCTCAAAAGGCATGCAATAGGTAGGCAACTGAGAAGTGAATTGCGGAGACCGGCGTTGACCCGTTTCGCCGTCGGCGATTGTGGAGAGGAGAAATCGCCGACACGATTCCCTGCAAAAGCTCCGACGACCTGTGAAAAGAAAGCCAAGTTCTTTAGGATCCATAGATCCCGAGATTTGCATCAATCAAAAAAATGGGCTGCTGCCAGATTACCATAATAAGCACGACTTGCCAAGAATTTCTTAGACGGGCTCCAAGGCAGGCGTGGACACCAATGAGGCTGTATCAATCCAACACACGACATGCCTGCAGGCTCTTCCCTACTGTGAGACTCTCATTCCGGAGCAAGAAGAATTGATAATTGAGAGCCAGATTCCCAAAACTCCGATAGGGCTTCTGGTGTCCCTGCCTTGAGCCCCAAGGCTGGGCATTCGGAACGGACTCAGCTACGAGTTGCTGAAAACGCAAAGTAACTATGCATCCCGTCCACCGTCCCGCGCGGGACATCTGACTCGTCTGCGGCTTGGCAGATCGTCTTGGAAGATCACCAGCATCGTTGTGGACTCGCGTGCATGTGTGGCCTGGAAATAGCACTCTAGATATCGTCCGGTAGCTTGGGATGCTGGCGCAGCTTACCTTGGCATCGTCAAGACAGAACTTGCACGTTCAAGCTCTATTAGCTTTGGTAGTATAATAACATCGGCACTACTTCGTGGTTTCACAGCAAATCTTTGTTGAATCAACTCACATAAACATATCATTTCATCCTTTTCACACACCCCCCCAAATCACACAACCACCCAAAAGCCTTTACAAGACAGCGAACAGGATGACGAAGAGACCGGACAGAGTGGTTCTCTTGCTCGTTCTGCTCATCATCTTTGGAGGCGCCGCGACCGGTCTCACATTTGCACCATGTTATGCGACGCTTTGCCCGGAAGACTTCTTCTCTTTCGAATCGAGGATCCATGTTGCGATATTCTACGGCATGCTCGGCGCCGTCATCTTGCTTCTTCTACTGGGCTCGTCATTTCGAGCCGTGGAGAGAAGTGGCAACCTCACTCTGATCTCTTCTCTGCCGCTCATCCACAAAAGAGTTACTCTCGGTGGACTCACCGTTGTCGTTTGGATTGCCTGCGCTACAATGGCGACCACCGCAATGTGGCTGCCCGCGCACTGGCGATACTGGGGAGAGCGTACGGATCCGCTCAACTGGATGTCGGCCAAGATCGCCCTCACCGTCACGGGAGTCACTGGTCATTACGCCGACATACTTCTTGGGCTGTCCATCGTCCCGGTCTCGAGAAACAGTCTCCTCGGCCATGCCTTTGGAGTTCATCAGAGCACGCTGCTGTATGCGCACAAGCTCGCCACGTACATGTGCACCCTTGCAGTCCTCGCCCACGGTGTAGGCTACGGTGTAAGTCCCACTCCTCCTACTACATCCTGTCGTCATATCTCCTAACAAATGATCAGATCTTCGCCTTGAACCCTAGCAAAGACGAAGATGAAGCAAAGCTGCAACTGTTCAGCAACGGCAACCCGACAATGACCGAGCTCGAGAGTCACAAACGGAGCGCATGGTACGGGACAGTGACATACACGGGCGTGGGCACCTTCGTCTGCATGCTCATGATCGTCGTCACCGCGCTGCCCAGATTCCGGCGGCTACACTATAACACCTTCTACAACGCCCACATCGTCTGCAGCGTCGTCACGTTCGTCGGCGCGAGCATCCACGCCAGCTCAGACTTTTACCTCCTGCTCCCAGGGCTCTCCCTCTGGGTGGCCGACTGGGCCTGGCGGCTCTTCCGCGGAGAGGGCGGCTCGCTGCGCACGCAAGCTGCCGTCTTGGAAAACGCCGGCAGCGGGTGGTACCGCGTCTCGCTCGGGGCGAGGGCCAAGTTCGAGCTCGACTCGGCGTCGGAAGCGGAGAGCTCCGCGCCGGCGGAGGGGTGGCCGCTGGCTCTGTACTATCTCAGCATACCGTCCGTCAGCAGGCTCCAGAGCCACGCATTCACGGCCGCGGTGTCGAGCACCTCACAGTCCGGGCCGGTGTTCTTGTTCCGACGGTCGCAGGGTAAGAAGTCGCAGAAGGCATTGGAAAAGGAGTGGACCTGGGCGGTGGGCTCTTTGGTAGGCAGTGCCGGGCTCCAGCGGCAGCTCGGTGTTCGGATCGAGGGGCCGTATCAGCCTACGGACACGGGGTTCGAATCGGCGTCTCACGTCATCTGCATCGTGGATCACTGGGGCTCATAGTCTTGCCCTCTGGTGGCTGAAGACGAGGAGCATGGCGGGAGATACCAAGTTCAGTCTCGTGTGGACCGTCCGCGAGCGCGAGTCTGTCAATGTTCAAGAATGGTTTGACCTCGTGAAGACGGCGGAGTCTCGGACGAACATAACGGTCTCGGCGCATGTCAGCGCGGAGATGGGACGGCTGGATCCGCTGGCGTTCATCCGCCAGAGTCTTGGCCTTGGCCTGGGCATGGTGACGGACGGACGTGAGAAGGGGGCAGTGTCTACCGGGACAGCTTGGGTGTACAGCTCTGGGCCTGGAGGCCTCCTCCAGGCTACTCAAAAGGCGTGCCAAGCTACAGACAAGGATGTTCGTAGATTGGTCAGAGATCAGGCTCCTGTTTCAGTGAGAGACATCAGTTGGTACATTGCCAAGTGGGAGGTTTAGGCCAGAGGCGCTGGCAGAACAGTTTCGCGGCAAAAATGACATATACATTGCAGGAGACTGATCATTTGCATACAAGATTTCCGACGAAAAACAAGGAACCCCCGCAAAATTACATGGCAAGCATAATTCCCAATTGACGCTGGAATGTTGTATAGATACATCGTAGATCGAAATTATCATCTGTATTTTAATCAGACTTAAGGAAGCTCACCTTCATCTCGGAATATGTAGCTCGTCTATGGTTAGTCCGTGATGCGGATGTCCATTAAGACGATTCTCGGGCCGTAGTGGGGCACTCACTCCGTGTCTCCAACATCGGCACCCTCTCTCGGCCCGAGCTGCCCAGAGTTCTGGCAAAGCGACCTCGTAATCTTGCTTGCCGCAACTAGTAAAGGCCAGGTGATGCCGTCGGCTAGAAGCAGACGTGATCACGTTGTGAAGTTACAAATGCCAACATGAGTCTGCAAAGTAGTCTGCCGGCCCGAGACCTCGACTGAAAAAAGGACCACTCGCCTTGCCTCAGATCACAAAGCGAATATTTGAAGACCTGAAAGTGTTGGAAATACGACCATTTTCAAACGAATTCTGTCATACACTATGCTTTCTACTGCGAGGCGTGCTTCCGCTCCTCCACTTCGGCGCTCCTTGGGGACCACTAGACACGGTAGCAGCAATGCATCAGCATCTACGCGGCCGCCTACATGGTGGATGCAAACAAGATCGTCAGTAAAACAAAAGAACACCATCAGAGTCATCGCGGGAGGCGCTGGCGTGGGAATCATTGGGCTGATGTTGGCGGGGCGGGCTGATTCAACGTCAACGGATGATCCTCGAGACCTGAGAGCTCTATCTTCGGTGCCTTTAAGTAAGCTCTTTTCAGGATGGATGTAAGTTGCCCGCTCCAGGGGAGGGCTGTTCCTTTGCGGGATCGAAAATTGAGTTGACCGTGTGAATTAGTGCATTTGCGTTTTGCTCCTGGCCGGCCTGGGTCAACGCAAGCGAGTCTCTCTACAACTTCATGTCCAAGGTCCCCATCATCTCCGCCATTACGCACAAATTCGTCATGGGCACATTCTTCAACCAGTTCCTTGGCGGAGAAACGACTGTGGAGTGTATTCCAAAGATCAAAGCGCTTCGCCAAGAGAATATCGGCACTCTGCTTGGCTACAACATCGAAGCTGAGCTGGACGGCTCCAGCAAGGATCCCGACCTGATCCTCGCCCAAACTCAGCACGTGCTCTCCTCCATCGAGGCGCAGGGGACACTCGCCAGGGAGTTTTGGCCAGATACCGCTGCCACCGGAGGCGACAACAGATGCTGGGTCAGGATCAAGATCACCGGCCTTTTGCCTCATCCCGTTGCGCTGTACAATGGGTCCGAGGCAATTCTGGCCGCAAGAGGCGCAAGAGGTTTGGATGAGCATGTACCGTATCCAGGTCTGCCCCACGACGGCGACTGGGACGCCGCGCTAAAAGGCGTCACCCAGACTGACCGGGAGCAGCTCCTCAGGCTCCGGGCCGCTATGGAGACCATCGCGGGCAAGGCACGAGATAACGACGTGCGCATCGTCATTGACGCGGAACAGACCTGGTACCAGCCGGTCATTGATGCTCTCACGGACGAGCTGATGCAGAAATACAATGCCTTGGATGGCGGTCCAGCGACCTGCATCGCCTCGTTCCAAGCCTACCTGCGACGCTACCCGCAACTACTCGACCAACAGATCCAGCGTGCGGATGAAAAGGGCTACAAGCTGCTCTTTAAGCAGGTTAGGGGGGCGTACATGGTGACCGAGGCAGAGAGATGGGAGAGAGAGGGCCATGAAGGGCCAGGCCCGGTATGGTCGACCAAGGAAGAGACGGACGCGAGCTACGACTACGGCATGGAGAGGGCGCTCTCGACTATTGCGGAGCAAGTGCGCGAGACCGGGGCGTCCAGATTAGGGGCGGTCTTTGCCACGCACAACTCCATCAGCGTCGATCTCGGGATCCGATTGCTGGAGAAGTACGGGCTGGCCAAGCGGCAGGAAGAGAATGGAAAGCTCCTGCTTTCGAAAGAGGCGGCGGGAAGTATTGCTTTTGCTCAGTTATACGGTGAGGATCAGAATCTCGAGAGATGTTGAAGGTGCTGACTCGCTTGCTTTTAGGAATGAAGGACGACCTCACAAACAAGATCACCGGATCTATCGAGGCACCGGGAGGCTTCGCGCTGGTTGTCAAAGTGAGTCTTTATCTTTCCACACGACACTCGCTAACACCATGATTAGTCCATGAGCTATGGCGACCTGCGCGAGTGTCTGCCCTTTCTCGCCAGGAGAGCGACGGAAAACAAGGCGGTTCTTGAGGGTAGGGGAGGCGCAATGGCTGAGCGGATTCGACTCGGTCGCGAGATTCGCAGGCGGCTTACTCCCCTGAATTAGCTCACGGGCAGCCGCTTAGTTGGTTTTCCGTGGCATGCAATAGACTAGACATTTACTTTCACTTTCACTTGAGATTGGGACAGATGATTGTGCGTTGAAACCGGCAACTATATTCACAGAACCAGGAGCTTACGAGCTCCTGATGCCTTTGAAAGTATTTACATGAATTGTGTACTTCTCAGTACTCTGCAACCGCGGGCGGCCGGAAGAAAAAAGGCCGCCACGACGGAAGGCAGCAAAAGCGCTCTTCTCATTACCCACTGCAGGGTTTCTTCTCTCACTAAACCACTTAGAAGGTGAGGGTCTGGCCAGCGGTGCCGACGACGGCAGCCTTGACCTTGGAGGAGCCGAGGAGGGTGTAGCTGTAGTCGGGCTTGGTGAAGGTACCCTTGGGGGCGTCGTTGGTGGAGCCACCGAGGTCGACGTCGTTGACAACAGCGTAGCCGGTGCTCTTGGAGTCGAGGAAGGTGATGGCCTTCTTGGTGTCGGAGAAGACGGAGGACTCGATGAGGAGCTGGGCGCCCATGCGGGTGTTGACACCAGAGGTCTCGAGCTTCTCGGCGTAGTTGTTGAAGATGTGGACGTTACCGAAGCGGACGGAGGGGTTGCGGGAGCCGACGTTGGACCAGTGGTTGTTGGCGTAGGTGACGTAGAGCTTGCCGGTGTCCTCAGCAGAGTTGGAGTCGGAGTGGCCGACGAGGGAGCCCTTGTAGTGGTCGTGGATGTAAGTGTTGGAGACAGTCACGGCCATGGAGGCGTGGGTGATGTCGAGCAGACCATCGTAGTAGTCCTTGCCGTTGTCCTTGTCGGAGGACAGGTCGCAGTGGTCAACCCAGACCTTGGAGGAGGCCTGGATGCCGATGGCGTCACCGTTGTCGGCGAGGACCTTGGAGAGCTTCATGTTGCGGATGATGACGTTCTCCTGCTTGTTGATGTACAGACCGACACCGGTCAGGGAGGAGCCGGCGGCACCAATGATGGACTTGTTGGAGCCGACCTTGACCTTGGTGGCACCGGTGATGGCGCCCTTAACGACGATGACGGCCTTCTCGTCAGAGGTGGCGGCAGCGGTGAACTGGGCCAGGGTGGAGACGGTGGTGGTGGTACCGCCGGAGCCACCGGTGGTGCCGGCACCGTAGCCAACATCGCAAGCGTCGGTGATGGCAGCACGCTTGCCGACGGTGCGGGGGTCGACGGCGGCGCCGTCACGGACGGTAGGGGTGGGGGTGGCGCTGGCAACGGAAGCCAGGAGGGCCAGGGAAGAGGCGATGCCGGAGAACTTCATCTTGACTGTTTCGAGCTTGGTGGTTTGGCTGATTTGTGGTTGGTGGTTTTCGTAAGAAAAAAGAATGTGTTGACGGTCTACGTCGAACGAAGGTATGCAGTGAGAGTTGTTTGAGGTAGGGAATGAATGCAAAGAGCGCGAGAGCTGAAAGACTGAAGAAGTGAAGCGGGATGGAGAGCAAGAGAAAGACAGCTATGAAGTCGGATGGGACGAGGCTCTTAAGTATCCGTCGCCATCAACACGCAAGGGAGCTCTTGGCTAAGCTTCTCGTGCCAAGAGCCAAGACCTCTTCTGTAGAAGCTTGGGTACACACACCCGCTCTCTCTCTCTGTCTGCAACGAAGGGAGGGCGTCTGCTTGGCCAGCGCCTTGCTTGCGTACGCGTGCTCTCCTTGGGTCTTGGCCCGGGATCATGGTGGTGCCAAGCGGAATCATACCGAGAGGAGGCTCTTTGGGGCCATCTGCGCAAATGCAACGCTGTCTTGGCACTTGCGTACGTCTTGGGCCTGGACAGGGCGGGCAAATGATGGTGATCCTTGGCGGGGAAGGGATTCGAAGGGGATGCCAAGACAGACTTGCACATCACATTGAGATGATGGTGGTACACGACATGGCGTCACGGTGAGAAGAATGGGTTGTGCATGCACCCAGACACCATGGAAAGCGGAGGTTGTGAAGGGAAAGGACGTGCTTGTGAATGGCACGGTGGGAACGAAGCGGTTCCCGGGCCCCGATCTGGCTGAATCGCACGAATGAGGATGCTGGCTCGGGATGGAGTGGACGGGCATGTGGTACGAGGGAGTGGTGGTTCGTTTGTTTAGGGGAAACGAGGCCAGGAGGTGTTTGTCGATATTGATCAGGCAGGCTAAGCCAGTAAGAGCGAGTTGACGTTTGGAAACGGACCAGGGGGGGATCATGGAAGTGGGTGCGAAATGAAGTCAGGGGATGAGTGATGGGATGGCACAGAGACATGGGGTTTCCTACCCATCCCAAAGAACGGCCGCATGGGTTCGAGATGGGCTGAGCAAGGGTCTCTTTTGACGAAAAAGGTTTTTTTTTTCTGCTCGCTGTCAAGCGGCAATAGGGGGCGGCTCGGGGAAAGGCCCAGCACCACGGGTGGAGGTATCATGGATTCATGACGGCGACTGGAGCCTCACGAGTCACATCGGATGAAGGCGAATTCGCTACCTGAAGCCTCCCCGGCCCCTGGGCTGTTCTAGACGACAGGGCGTTATTAGCAGCGAGCCAATAGTGCAAATATTGTGCGGACTGGAAGACCGAGAAGGGGAACAAAGCCATATTGCATTATTGCGTACTTGGGCCGAAAACCAACTCGACTTCACCGGGGTTCTCAAGGCGACTCGCTCCCACTTACCGCGGGGTCCAACACCAGAGTGTCCGTACAGAAATAGCTGTCGGTTACCAATATCGAGTGCTACGCCGTCGTCTAACTGGCCCTGGGGCTCCAGTCTAGCAGAATCGGGAAGTTGGGTCTTTTGGTTGTGGCCGTTTGCGTTGGTGGCCGTCCCTGTTCGGAGGAGGTTCCGGGCGATGGTCCGGGTTGGAACGGTCGAGGGTCGGGGGCCAGGGCACCGAACGGGAATGGACGGGTGGGGCCCATGCTCCCGGCGTATATTAAATTTAAAATCAGGTAGAGTTGTGGGGGCAAGGATCTGTCTCAGATAAGGTATTTTCTCCGTCACTAACATCGACTTGTGGCGAGTCGTGCTGCCTTTGGTACCCGTTCTGTGTAGAGACTAGAGAGGCACAGCGAATAGACGCTGCCCTTTGAACGCATTGCGCTGCTTTCATTGCTGTGATTTCTCTAGTCCGAGAGATGTGGGCATCTTGCTTCCTTCTCCGTGGAGATTCAGCTTCAGGTTGTCGCACCAGTATGCGCCTCGATGCGGGATTGATTGCAGATGTCACCCGCGCACCACCACCGCCGCCCAGATGTCAGCCAACATGCCAACACGCCGACATGCCAACAGACTCGGCGGCTACGGTACACGAGTACCTACACGAGCATATTCGGGCCTGCTTCTCCTTTTGTCTGCCCAAGCCTCTGCATGCAGCGGCCGACGACGACGACGAAATCGTGGAGTTGAGGTGGAGACTTACGGGATTTCAGGAGAATTTTCACACATTCTCCGCCTGCGCCAACTCGGTGAAAACATGTCCCAAAAGAAAACCGACAACTGCCGGACCTAACGACCCTTCTTTCTGGGTGCACACTAACGAGAATTTGGACGACAGCTGCTGTATCCGTATCGGGGAGCACGGAGCCTGCCTCCGCAGTCCCGGCTCCGATACTTTTTGCTCCCAGCTGAGGAGCTGTCAATTGAGTCCAGGACCCTGCTCCGCGTGTGAGGTACCTGGTGCTGTGTACATTGTATATTGTATATGTCTCTGCTCGGCTGTTTCCCAGGTACCTCTCCTCGCCCGACCGACCTCGGAAAGCGAAGACACTGCTCATTGGCGGCGTTACACGAAATATTGGCTATGAATTTGCAGGGTCGGAAATTAGGAGGCGAATCGCATATTGTCAGGCACGACGCGACCGCCATTTGGTACCAACGACCAGCGCAGTCTCGAAACTCGATTTCACTTGGCGGGAAAAGGTACTTGGCAGGCTGGCAGGTTGGGCAACATTTGGCACCACCCTCTTTCTCTTGGTTAATATGGAAGTCGGCACATTAAGGTCTTGTCCTTTGTCTTTTTCCCTGCGTCCTGTTTCTGGGGAAAGACGAAGCATGTCATCCCATTGCCGGCGCCTACCATAGCTTAATCCCGTAGCGCTCAACCTTGATGATCTTAGGACGCCCGTTAATGCTGTAACAGGAGCTAGAACGTCTCGCCTCGAGTAGAAGGTTTTTTTGTCGTCGGTACGTATCCGAGAGATGTTCCCTGACGGCGGTCCTCCTTACGACGGGAGAGCGCCCATATGATGTCCTCTCCCTCGGTCTCAGCCCACCCACACCCTTCGATACCTCACTCCACTATCCAGGGGAACATTGGACGGCCGACGTGATCTGATTATGCTCGGTTGCCTCCTTGGCTCTTCTTTTGGGGACATCGGCGAACACACATGACCACGTCCGCATTCTCCGTACATGTTGAGCGAGCAAATTTGCCCACCAATCCCTACGACTGTCGGGCATTTCTCAATCGCCGAGGTATTCTTTGCAGAAGAAGCTTGGTTTGTGTGTGATTCATGAAACATCCAAATTGTGCATCTGGCGACTAAGCTAAGGTATTGGAACGTGCCCCTCTTAATTCTTTCATTATCATATTATGCCCCCAACCACTTCATATCCGTTTCCATGCGCCGCCCTGCACAAACGTGCTCTAGCCGCCGTGCTATACGTGTACAACGTATTGCCATTCGGCGGAAAAACTAACGTGCGCAATTAACCTCACGCTCCCGTCGGCTCCTACTGGACCCCACATCCACGACACACCACACCCTCTCTCTTTCTGAGCCCCAAAATGCAGTGTGATACCATCGCCAACTCGAGCACCCTTCAACACCGACGTTTTGGCTGCTTTTCAACGACTGTCGTTGAATGATCGAGGTGCCAAGCCGCGATGCCAAGACGGATATCTCGGTGGGCTGGGCGGTTTCGAACCACCCTGGGTTCCCAAGGGCCAAGACACGTTGGAGCTGATCAGCTCTTGGCCCTCTTTTTGACAGCCCAGCGTGCCAATCCTGCGTG